CAGTAGCACTGTCTGCAGCAGGGACTCGAACCCACAGCCCGGAGCCCAGAGCACCTCCTGTTGGGGAACGGGGATCCAGGGGAGTGAAATGTGTTTTTGGAAACGAAAAGCTCTCCTTCAGCTTGGCTCAGCGCCGAGGCCATCTTCCCCCAGCAGGCGCGGCGCGTTTCGGGGTGCTGCTGCGATCCTATCGGACGCGGCACCCCCTCAAAGCTGCGGGGGCCCCCTGGAACGGGTATCAGCTGAGCCAGGACTCCTGCCGCTGCAGAGGCAGTTGTTTACATTCGGCTGTTTAAAGGATCAGGGGGTATGAAAACAGAGAGAGGAAGATGCGTGGTATTGTGGTATCAAAATGCACATGGTTCGCATTTCCACAAATCCTGCCATGCTATCTCGCAGACAGGCTGGGCTGAGAGCAGCCGCAGACAGAGAGCTCCTCACGGAAATCCCGATTTAGATACACTGGGAGATAGGACCCTGGTTATCTGGGCTCTCCGACAATCTGCGCTGAATCAAGCCCTCTCATATTAAAGTATTAAGGACATGTTGCCTTTGGAATTTTTCAAAGGCTTCTTTGGGAAGTTGTTACGTGGAAAATTAAAATAACGGATCCAGACGAGAGGACAGAAGGCCATCTGTCCAAACAGTCAGGGTTTAGTGGATGTCTGGGGGCAAAGTCCTCACTAACTCGTAGCTCTGTTTTTGAATACATTTTGTTATTGTAGCTGTTAAATAAATAGAAAATAATTTGATGCTGTGTACAGTTAAAGAGCCTTGTTGTTTTGCTTCATTTTTTCCTCTCTGTATCTTGGCTAACCTGCACTGTGCCTCTGGTCAGCTGCTTCACGAGTTCAAGCATCCAGAAGGACGTCCAGTCGAACAGCAGGGGGCGCTGAAGAAGACACCGGTCAGCGTTTCAGCCCGAGTTTACTGTGGCCCTACTCAAACTCTGATTGCTGCATTGGAGCTCAGTGGACACCATTCGAGCTGAACGCCTGTTTGTAAAATGTTTTATTTACCAAGGGGAAATAATCAAAACACTTTGCAGCAAGTTCAGTTTATTCAAATAGCACCTGGTGTGGTGCAGAAGGACGTCGTTTGAACCAGACCAATCCAAACCCCATTACGTAACTCCAAAAGTGGCTTTGAACTTGTTTTTCTGAAAACTAATACAGTATGTCTATCCAAAGAATATTTTTTCCTCTGAAGCCTGTTATTGCAGTTCCTGGGCTACATAACTTCCACAACATCCGAAGAGACCGAACGCATCCATGTTTATTGATGGCCAGTGTGTAAGTGAATCTGACAGGCTGGAGTTCCCAGCCCTGGTCCTGGAGAGCCAGTGTCTGCAGGTTTTCACCCCAGCTCTGCCCTTCACAACCAAAATCAGCTCGTTATCGGTTTAATTGGACCAGTTTAAGAGGTTCTGCAGGTGCTTCTGCTTTGAAAAGGCCTAGATCACCAGACAGCACAGAAGCAGGACTGGCCATTCTTGAGTTAAAGTGCGACCCAGTCTAGTTTCTATTTTTGTTTCTTCCAGTTGGAGCAGAGACTGCGGGCAAAGCCGAGTGCAAAATGTCTGTGTGGATTGTAAGCCGACAGTAGTCTTGCAGTAATCAGCGCCCAGATTTATTAAAAAAATAAAACCTGAAGCAGACGCTCTCTATATGCAGGAGTATGGTTGCGGATATCGTCTGTTTTGTTCCTTAATCTCACAGTACACTTTAATTTAATGCGCAGCCTGATCAAAGGATTAACAGTGACAGTGCGATGCGCCTGGAATAGCTGCACAGCAGTTGTGTGTTTCAGGGAGGAAGTGTGATCCTTGTTTTCAGCACAGACAAGGAGAAAACACTGGAACACTGACAAGGAGCTTCATGGGAGAAAACCCACACAGACAGCCATGTACATATATGGACACAATGTATATGAAGTGTATTCAAAGGTATGTTAAGTATGTACATTCATTTTCATATACATGTGGATGGGCAGTGTTTTTTTTAGATTTCTTTCATTCGGAAGGTAGGTTATTATTATCCTTAGACTTGCAAATGAGTTCTTGCAAGCATCCTGACCACATGGGCGTATATTCACTTAAAGAAAAGCGATTAAACCTTAAAGGGCGTCTCTTTGACACTCTCTTCTGGTGAGAGTGGAAAAAAAAGCAGCAGTGAGTCTGCTGTGAATTTACGGGGTGAAAGTTCAGAAGCAACCCCCCCCCACCCCTGGAGGGCGCCCCCCTTAATCAGCACGTCTCTCCTCTCTTTGAGGCGACTGTGATGTTCCCCTGCTTTCACACTGTGTTGACCTTATTTAACAGGTCTCAGTCAGCTGGGGACGGTCTTTTCCGGGATTTCCCGCGAGCTGTGGAGTGGAGTGGTCGGAGCTGATCCAGCCGGACCTGTCGGCAGAGCTCTGCTGTTCCCAAGCCCGGTGGATCCACACCGCCCTCCGGCAGGGGGGTGCTGGGCCCTGACTGACCCAGACCCGTAACCAGACGGACAGTGAATACTATCGCGAGCCTCTGGGTGCCAGGGACGCCGCAGCCCACTCACGAGACACACTGAACGGTGCCCCTCTGTGACTCGAAAGCAAGCCGAGTCTCTGCAGCCAAGCGAACCAGACAAGTGAGGCGTTCTCTGAGGGCCGTCCTGTGTCAGCCGCACACCGAGCCCGGGGGTTGTCCGTCCCCGGGCCCCGCCGCTCGCAGCTGCGCTGGGTGATGAATGAAGCTCTGCGGTCGGGTCTGGATCCTGCGAGAGGAATTCCACCTCCCAGGTCCCTGTTCTCTGTGCATTCCGGTTGCTCGGTGACGCCTGATCTTTCACACCCTCCGGAGGACGGGCTCACCCTGGCTCACCCTGACTCACCCTGACTCCGGGACCCGGTTCTGCCGGATCACCCCACAAGCTCCTCCAGGAAGGGACGGGATCGGTTCCCGGTGCTGCCGGGCTCGCTCCACGTCCCCCTTCTTTATCCAGGGCTGTGTGTGCTCCCTGGAGCAAGGCAGCAGTGGGTGTGTTTCTGCCTGTATGCGCGTCAATGCCTGCGCGAGCGTGCTCATGTACGTGCAAACTTTAGAAACGCCGCTTTCAAAGCGCAGTTCAGAAGCGCTGTCCCTGTCGCAATCTCGTCTTTGATGGACACATCTCCATAAGACTGGATCACACCGCGTGGTGAAGCAGCCACTCCGTCGGAGATATTGGTATCGAAACTGGATTGGGGAAAGGAGCTCTCGCCCTGAGCCTCCTTCTCTGTCGCCAGCCCACCTCCAGGTGAAGGCCTGTTGAATTCAGCGAAACCCGCTTGCTCCTGCTGCTCCAGTTTCTTCTTTGAGAAGCAACTTGACTCTAAAAACTCGGCAGAGACTCTGGAAAAGTCCAGCCCAGCAGACGGGAGACCAGTGATCTGTTAGTCAGTGCGTGTGGGGAAGGAAGTCTCTGAGACCTGGGAGAGACTCCTGTGAGCTGCATACCTGTGTGAATGTCCCTGCGGCGATCAATCCTGTCAGTACAGCACAGCCTTCCAGAACATTTACATTTCCTCACAATGAGCTGACAAAAAAAGGCTTTTTATTTTTACCACACCAAAGCCAACTATCCCATCCATGGGAGATGTTAAAGCCAAAGCCTTCATTTTGCACAGTTTTGAGGTCATTTTTCTTTTAATCCCAGGGAATTCCGGGGAGAACTGCTTCTTGTCTCTAGGAGAAAGAAATGAAAGCTCTCTCTCCAACCTTTTGTCAAGAAGCTGACTTGATGTCAAGTTGCCGTGTGGAGAAAACAGCTGTTCACCTCTTTCAGGCTGAGGGCCGCCCTCGCGGTCCAGGAAAGCACGAGCAGAACTGTCCGATTTGGAGGGGATCTCGTGTGACAGACAGGACTGTAGTGTCCAGACAGCTCGGCCACCCTGTGTTTGAAACCTCTTTCAAAGCGCCGTCCCAGAGACCAGCTCCGCGTAGGGGAGACATAATTTATCTGCTAGGTATGTTTGCCATTAGCGTTATGCATGGGAAGGCTGACGAATATGAAGTTGGCTAAATTGAACACATGCCTGCGAACATCTGCGCTGCACTGGACTCTGGGAGCAGAAACCGAGGCCGAGAGCAGCCGGGGCTGAGCAGGAGCCACATTCTTCGGCTGAGGCCACAGCTCTGTTGCTCACTGCCCAGCGCTGGAATGAGGTGTGAAAGACAGCGACTGCCAACACCCCCCTGTGGGGAAAGAAGCTCTAATTTGTATTCGAAAGAATTATGGGGAGTTCATGTCACGGCAAGCGGTTTCGTGCTCTTCCTGAAAGGGTTGAAGGAGAGGCAGGGCTCTGAGGGTGATTTGTGCTGCTGTATTCCCAGCGGTTTGCTATGGAAAGGGATGCAGCGTTACACTCTACGGGTTGAAGCAGCCTCTTTGTGTGTCCCGCCGTATACACACCCCACAGTCTTCATTTTCATCCCAAATATTCACTAGGTCAGCAGCAGCCAAGTAACCTGAGCAATGTGATTCAATTTCCAGGCTCTCATCTCCATACCAGAGGCATCTTTGGGGAACTAATTAAACTTTGCTCCTGGCGTGCAAGTTATTAAGCACTCAACGCTGAGAGTGTCAGGGCCACTCTGTGACAGACACCCTCTTCCGTAAGAGGCGTCTTTTGGAACAACAAGTGAGGTTTCCGCGTGAGAAAACACTCCTCCAGCGCAAGATGATAAAACGTGCCCTGGCTGTCGATCCTTTCCTTTTTAATCTGAGCTGAAATAAACGCGTGCAATTCCAGGTGACGCGGCGCAGATGGGGGGCCGCGGTTTCGGTTTTGACTCCTTCTCTTCTGGTTGCAGTGGGAGAGATGCATCATCGCTGAAGTCGTTTGTTTTCTGTCTGAGCTCCGACCAGTGATCCCAGCCTGGAGAATTGAGAATTTATGGCCGACACTGACCCTCTTCCTCCAGAGAACCTGCCACGGGCTCCACGCCAGGCACTTTAAAATTTAAAGAGGTGATGGAGAAATTGCCCAGAAGAGACAGGGAACACATCAGTTAAGCACAGCGAGGTTTCGTTTTCTCTCGGTCTTGCTCCTTTTCCACTCTTCTTCCCCGGGACGGCCCAGCCAGGCGGCTGTGAGCCTCTCTCCTCCCGCCGGCATCGGGCCTGGCAGCAGCAGCAGGGACCAAGAGGGCTCCTCCACCCCGGCCTCAGAGTGGTGTCCAGAGCAGAGCGGGTGAATAACGAGCTGTCGCTGAGCTGTGTAACGCCGGGCGAGGTCCCCCTTCCTCGAACCCAGGCCATTCCTGAACAGATCCAAACGATGCGCCCGTCTGCAGGAGTTCTCCCCAACGCCACTGAGAAGCTCGTGCATCTCGATGGGCTCTTTACCTTTTAGGAAAAAGGTCACAAAAGTCAGTTTGATTAATTTATTCAATTAGAATGAACTTTATTTGAGTCAGTTAATGAAAACACTTTCCTTTCTAACAGGGATGTAGGAATTAGAATGATTTAGGTCCTGCTGACCTGATTTGTTAGAGACCTTTCAAGTGGAGCCAATGATCAATATATGTAGATTTCCAAGAAGCTTCTCATAATCAAACACCGCAGAAATTCACAGTGATTCACACACGCACTTCATAAAAACATGAGCCTATAACGCAGTAACCAAGCAAAGGATGTAAGGGAGTTCAGCTCTCTGAACACAGCTGGAGGGTTGTGCATGTCGACCGGTCCAGCAATACGGACGCAGTCTGTGAATGTCCTGAGGGGCTGCCCCGCATCGTTCATCTCCACTGGGGCAGAACATCACCTGCCACAGAGCAGGGCACCTCCGGCGGGTGAGAGGGCAGGGCGCAGAGACACCTGGGGGCTGTATCGGAGGAGAGATCGGGTTTGCTTCTGCAGACCCCAGCCAGAGCAGAATTCAGGGAGCACGATCTGTGGGGGTGAAGTACAGCGACCTACAAGACGAGCAAATGCGATCTGGGAGAATCTGGGGTCCCCGTCGTGTTGAAACCCCCTCCTGCCCACGTGGCACAGGTGGGGGCACGGGGGGGGGGAGATCTGTTTTATCCAGAGAGGAAATGGAAGCATTTTGTCTTTTCTGACACCTAGAAAAGACACATCCATCAGTACCTAAATTTGGTGCCGATACTTTTATAGCTGTAGTGTGAAGAACAGGGAAGCAACAAAACTCCAGATAACATCTAAGAAAACCCATTGCACAAGTGCCCCTTTCTGTATTCGTCACATTTGCGTTATGCATATGAGCGAATGGACAGCAGATGCCCGTCAGACCCTTTTATACATCCTTGAACTCTCCCAGCCTGAAGATGTTTGCAGGTAGCCAGCTTCTGAGAGTCAGGTGTTTCCTGTATTTACAGAACATGGTTAATGATTTTTTTAATGGACGTGCATTATAATCTCAAGCAAATTGTACAGGCTCTGAGGTGCTGTGTAGCTCCAAGCAAGCTTGCATTGATCAGACCCCCCGATCTGTGTTTGTAGTTGGCAAGTAAGAGCTCAGCTGTGAAATGGCAGAAATTATTGACAGGGCACGAAACTCCAATGTGAAACCAAATATCTCTGCTGTTCAGCAGCAGCCGAGGCAGCGAGTGCCGGGCTGTCCAGAGCCGGAGAGCACGGTGATTTATTGTGCAGTCCTCCTGTCTGATCTGGGCTGACCGGAGAAAGTCAGCAGCAGAACACCTGTGAGTCAGATGACCTTTGTGGTGGCTCTAAACTCGTGGGAGAGTGGGAAGGAAAGGACATCTCCCCGGCCACATCGATCAAAGTGTCACGCCCATCAATCTCCGAGCAAGCCGGCCTGGGGGAGCTGACGCACTGAGGGCTGCTTATTTTCCCTTCCCACCTGGGGTGAGCGGCTGTCACCTCCGCAGAGCCGTGACATCACTGCGGGAGCCCCCGCCGGCCAGCAGTTCGACTAATTACAGCCGAGATGACCCTCATGATTACTGACCACCGGAGGGAGGGCAAGGTGCCCTTGTTTTTCGTCTGCTGTCAAGTTGGAAGGTGACCATAGAGACACGTCTCTTACATGGGTCCTGTTGCTCAGACGAGGACATGGCAGGCCAGCTAATCCATAGCCTTGCTTTGGACAGGACCAGTGACACAGAGACACCAGCTCTTGCACAGATGAGGGTGGGATTCACATTCACTGTGAGACACCCTGCGAGCCCACACCCGCAGGGCTACAACCCACCGGCAGCTCTCTGTGTTGGCTGGCCAGTGCCCACTGCCCCCTGCTTGGCACCGCTCAAGGAGCTCAACAGCTTTCCTTGTTTTCTTTTTACTTGTTTTTGGTTGTGATCTCGCGGAAATCGAGGGCATCGACGGGGCATGAGGCGGCGGGTGTCATGCGGCTAGTCCGTTCTTCCGTGATGCCATGGCAACGCCACATTGGGGTCAAAGGTTAACGCACTAATGTGCAGGGAGGTCAGCCTGGTTTACACACAGCTTAGACAGGAGAGCCCACACTATCTCTGAGCTGCCAGCCACTGTGATTTAATGCCAGCTAATGATTACACCCCTAAGCTCTGCTTGGATTCGAAGCCCATGGCTACTGTCGAGCGAACAACACTTCGGCATTATTCGGAGTTGCTTCAGTTGAAAAAGAAGGACATTTTTTTTTTTTTGCACTCTCCCTCCATCGCGCAGCCCAGCCCCTGCTGAAATACTTCCCGGGCCGCCTCAGCTCAGGCTGGCCGGGCCTGGTTGGGAGGCGCGCTTGTGTGGCAGTGCACCTGCAAATACATGCAGGCGGAGCGGCTGACCTTCAAGAGCTCTGATATTATAGCCCCGGGCGCTCGGGCCACAAATCCTCCTGCATCAGTCCGGATTGTGTGTCGAGTGTGAGCCCCTCTCCCACAGCGCCTCAGCTGCATACTGGAGGCTTTCATAAGAGATCACAGGTGCTTATTTACAAAATGACAATTTTCTTCCATAATTCCATGTTACTGCATTACAAGATCTTATCGCGGGAATCGGATCTTATTCCAGGGGGTTTATGCTTTAATGAAAGATGCTTTTCTGGCCTCCTCTCTTCGGCAGCGCGCTGGTGGCTGTAATAACAAGACAGGATTCCTGATGCCTCCATCAGGGAACAGCAGGCACAAAACACCCGGTCACACAGAGAGCAGAGGATTGCAGATGGACCGCGGTCTGGTATGAAGCTGGAGGATGCATAAAGCTTTAATCACAGGATGTTGCTCTTGAAGTTCTGTTTGTGTTTTATTAGTGCCTGTCTGCTGTGTGCGTCTCCCCACTCTGACAGACAGTGCCTCTGTCCGTCCCCAGCTCCCGTTCCTGTGCTGTTTTAACTGTATGCAGCCCGAGAGTGAAAAAAACAACTCACGGAAATGCCTGATTTTTTAAAAGAAGGTAGTTCCAGGACGGACAGTTGTGTTGCATTCCTAGACCTCAGAGCATTGTCTCTAGAAATGTGTGGTGAAGACACCAGCCCCAAGCGTGCCAGGTTAAAAAAACGATTCTTGCGAAAAGCTCTGTTTTTTTATTGCACAGATCTGTTTATTTAAGGATTTCTCCCACTGGTGCTGCAGAGTTCGGTGGAATGAGCTTTATCACAGTCAGTAGGCCCTGCGTGGGGTGTCTCCGGCTAGGGGGCGCTATCTGGCCCCGGCTCGATGCTGCACACAGGTGGCAGCAGGACTGAGGGGGTTACACATCCTGGATTCTTTATCACTAGTTCTAGGTTTAAATCCTGCGTCCAGACACTGTCTGAGAAACTCACTGAAGGGCTTTTGTGTGACTAAATATTTTTATTGGATTAACCCCCTGTGAGTGTATGAGCTTTTTTTGCCTTCCTATTCTCTGTGCTCTAATCTTCTGCATATTTCCCCGCAGTCGCAGTGTAGTGGTGCTGGGTCCTGCTGTCTAGGAAGCCACTGCGATCGGTGTTCACTGCAGACCGGGGTGACGTGGGGACGCGCTCGGGGCCGTGTGGCTCCTCACAGCTCCGCCGTCAGCTCGTCCTCTTTCAGACTGCCTGAGACAGTGTCTGCTAGGCTCCGGTGTTCCTTTCCCTGCTGCATCGTACTCCTACAGGCCCCCCTCCACCATTAAAAGCATGTGACAAGTTATAATAAGAGGTAATAAGGTTTGACATTTAGTTAATTATTAAAAATGTTTGGTGGGCATTAATTTGCATTCATTTAAAATACTAAATGTGAAAATGTGCCTTAGCTTTAGGGACTGTCAAACTACCAATTACCACATGCACGCCCTAACCCTAATGCACCCTAACCCTAACCCTAATGAACCCTAACCCTAACCCTACCTCCCTTGCCCAGACATCTCCCCCTTGCCTGTAATGCTGCCCAAGGGACAGGGACACTGCTGGCCAGCTGAGGAACCTCTTATAAACACTGAGAGCTTGAAGCACCTTCCCAGTGTTGGAACCACATCTGACGTCTGTCCAGACAAGGGATTCGAGCTCCTGTGTATCGAGACACGGATTTGAATTCATCTGGGAGAGGAATCCAAGAATTCAAGATGATTCAAGGCAGCCCTGCAGTCCGCCTCTAATACATAGTTGTATTTGCTTAACCTCTGCTTGAAAGGGGGTGCTGCTTATTTAGGGGAGGAGAAAGTCTGAATCTGGTTTGAATGTTCGCAGCTGCAAATAATCAGGCTCACATGTGGCACGTTAGAAACCGCCTTTGCTTTCACAGACATTGCTGTTGGAGGCTGCTGAGCCATGTTGGACGATGCTGGACTATTCCTGTTGACCTGTGCAGCTGCCCATCAAGGTGCAGAGATGGTCAGGTGTCAGAGTGATTGCCCTTTGACCTCTGACCTGAAGGTGCACATGACCTACAGGAAAGTCACGCAGGTGCCTCGTTTCCTTCTGCCAGCGGAGGAAGAAGGTAGAAAGCGGACTGGAGCAGAGCTGCTCTTCCCCAGGCCTGGCTCACAGTGTCGCTGGTGAATGCTGACTTGTATCAAACACTTTTTCAAATGAACACACTGTGTTTGTTGTTTTAGCTCACAAATTTCCGATCACATACTTAACGTTTCTTGAAGGCTTGGTAGGTTGGACGTAGACTATGACACGGTGCCCTGCAAATCTAAGCACAGAAAGGCAGGAAGGCAGGAAGACAGGGAGTTGCAATTCTGACTTTTCATCGGGTCCCGGCTGCTCTCCTATACTATCAGACCGATAAATCTCTTGATTGCCATGCCAGCATGAGCCCCAAGACACACAATACAACTGTTTGCTCGGGAACCTCCCGATTAAAGCAGCCCCTTCCCAACTTCACTGATTTGTATTTCCATCAGATGTGTTTTGCCAGAGATGTAATTTCAGTCACTTAAGGATCATTAAAAAGAGATCATATTAAATATCGCTTCTGGAGCGGGAGAGATAGAGAGCAAGGGAGGAAGAAAGGGGAGACTTGTTTTGTCAGCCAGTTCTGAGCGACTCTGTCCCCTCGCCTCCTGAGGGAGGGAGGGAGGACCAGCGACCAGGCTGGGTCAGTTTTCTGTAAATCTGCCGATGAAATGTTGACAAAACAGCCAATTTTCTGTAATTTGGCTGTGGCCCTCTGTCAGCACCCCCGTCACTCAGAGCCCCTTCATTTCAGATAACACCAGCAGCTGACCTTTGACCTTTATCTCATCCCTGACTCCTCCAGCCCTGCAGAGACGTACAACAGCCCTGCCTTTCAGGTCAGGTGAGCGCAGGCCCCAGCTCCATGAAGGAGGCCTTTGTTTCCCAGCTGGCTTTCCAGGGCTCTGCTAGAAAGGCTAAGAAATGCAGTTAATAGCTCAGGAGTGGCCTAATCATCAGCTGCCATTACTGCTCCAATATCTGCGGGGATGACAGACTTATCAATAACAGAGCCCCACGTGAGGCCGGCGCTGAGCCTTCATCTGGAGCTGTGCTCCGCTGAGCAGAGGGCTGTCTCTCGGGCCCGCGCCAGGCAGCACACCTCTCCTCCTCTTCATGTGCTGCCAGGAATCAGTCACCGGGCCCGGCCCTCGTTAGGCCTTCTGAAGCTCCGGACATTATTTCAGCAATTTGGTTTAATTTATTGAGTAAATGTGATGAGATCATTGAAAAAGAAGGGCTCTTTTCTGTTTGCAATGAGATGACAGCGCTTCTCGGAAAATAATTTCTCTTCCCTAAACCCTTAATGAAGTGCAGACCAGGCTGCCTGTGCAGATTGCTCCGGACTTGACTTAATTATACTCCTCTTTATGATTTTAATTTTCAAGACAGATTCAGTTTTTTCTTCTTAAATAAAGGCCATTTATTAAAGTCCATTTTCTTTTTAAACTCTACAAAACTCTAGTTTCTTCATGATCACGGGGGGCAGACGGAGCGGACGGGGCAGTGTTTATTTGTGAACTGCCCCGCTCGGCTACTGCAGCTCATTGTCGTTACCACAGTATTGGTCTGTAGCCTGGCTCGAAGTCTACTCATTGAACAGCTTGAAGAATCAGATCTGCTCCTGAAACACTGAGCTGGAAGGTTCCTTTGACTGGATTGCTGTGACAGCAGCACATCCTCTGGAAATGGCTGATTCCTTTCCAAGCGTGTTTCTTTAACTCTCTCAGCCTGAAACGGCCCTTAATGTAAAACAATAAAGTATTTATAAGCCTTCATGACAGTCAGAATATTGTTGTTTCAGTGTCGGCTGCCAGGGATAATAATGTCTGTGATTGAAATGTGTTTTTGTTGTGGGGATGACAAAGGCACGTTCTCCTTTTTAAGGCTCGCTGAGGGCACAGCACTTAAAAAAGCGACCGAGTTCGTCCCTCTGTCCTCTTCTTCTCCGCGCTGATCGCGTTTACCCAGGGGTGCAGGACGGAATGAGCCCCAGCCCAGGGTCTTCTTCCAGCGGCAGCCAGCGTTAATCGCATTACCAAAACATTAGGCAGCTTGGGTTTCAGACTGGCCAGGCATACTGGAGGATGGGGAGGCCCGGATTCAGGTGGAATGGTGCCACATACCACAGGCACTCAGATTGATGCAGTGCTGGATGGAGGGGGAGGCTGCTTGGACAGGATCAGCTGCTCCCTTTCCGCACAGCAGAGCTGTTGAAACTGCGGTCGGGGCTTGTGGGAAGGAACATGAGAGCAGGGCTGCACGGAGGGGCTGTTTCTCTCCTGCCAAGTCGTCTGAGCGGCTGTGATGCTGGAACGCACGGACGCATTCCGCTGCTGCCCTGGAAAGTTGGGGGGCACAGAGCAGAGTGGGGTGTGTGTGCGGAGCAGGGCCACGCCCCTCCGCTTGTGCCATCGGTACCATCGACCAAACCTGTTGGCCTCTCTGCTACTGCCTTCTTCCCTGTTTACTGTTTGGATGCTGCACACTGGTGGGGGTGGAGGGGATCCCCATTACCTGTAAAGCGCTTTGAGTGGAGTGTCCAGAAAAGTTATATAAAAAAAGCTATATAAGTGTAAGCAATTATTATTCATTATTATTACTCCCATCCTCTCCCATCTGTGTCCATCTGTGTCCATCTGTGTCCACGCTTCTTGCTCTTGCTCTTTCCCTTGTTTTCGGAAGAGGAACTGAAGGCGATTCCCAAACCTGTGGGCTTTTCCCTGTCAGTGGGTGAGAGGGAGGGCATGGAGAGAACGTGGGCAGATGACCAGGGCAGAGCCCGGGCAACCCGCGCTGCTCTGGCCGCCCGGGCAAAGCGAGCTTCCGCTGGGGAACTGACACGTGCCAGAAGCACGCGGGTGAAACCATGCCCAGTACCTGCCCTCATTCCGATGGCCGTCAGACGCGGTCACTCGGGGCGCCCCCGTGGGCACTGGGGCTTGCCAGATTAGATTAGATTAGATTAGATTTCCAGATTAGCGCTTTTATTGAAATCTGCAAAGACACAGAGGGAGGGGAGTTGAGCATGGATACAGAGCAGCTGCTGCAGAGCCTGTCGTGACTCTGGGTCCTCTTGTGTTACTTTCCAAGACTGAGGATCCGAATTTGTGTTAGTCCAGCAATGCACCATCAGTGAAGCTGGGCTAACAGCAAGTGGCCCTTTGTGGACCTCAATGGCCCTGGATGAGTCATCCAAGGTATGCTTTAAAAATGGCTGTCATGTCTGGTGTCGATTGAACAGCACAAAGCTCCAGTGTCTGTTTTCTGAGGCTGGCGCTGGGCTCCAGGTGTGCCTCGTGCAATATCGAGAGACATCCTTCACAGGCCACTTGATAAGAGAAGGCTCGTTACCCGGAGGGTCCCGGTTCCGGTCCGGTTCCAGTCCGGGTGAGGCAGTAATCCAAGGGTGGCTCTGCAACAGCCTGCGTCACCACTCTGGGTAAAAAAGCACGACTGTGCGAACAGTTACTATCGCGCGGGCCGGCGTGGGTTTGGTCATGTGGGCTGCGCAGTGCATTTCAGTCTGTACTTAGAGAATCTCTGGAGGGACCAGACAGAGTGACAACAATACCAGTGATTGCCAAAGTCCATTTCCATTTCCTGTGAGACAAGTCCTTGCAGCTGTTTTCTTGTCTTTTGTGTTGCTGCTCTAGACTTTATTTCACCAAGGACCAGCTCCTTTGCTCCCCTCTGGCAGGAGCTCCGGACTGGGAGAGAGCCGGACAACAGCAACCAGGCCGGATTGTCCCGAACCTGCACCTGCGAAACGCCTGTCCTTCCTCTGTGGTCGATTCCTAGGACGTCTCCTGGCTCCCTTCCCTGCAGTGAGAGCCTGTGACTTGTGAGGAGTAACCCGATCGGGCCAGGACCGTCTCCGCACACACACGCACCTGGTCAGCAGGCCTTTCATTGCTAACAATAGAGAGGCTCAGGCAATGACAGCTTCAAGCACCTGCTATTGGAAAGTCTGTTCTCCATCAGTCAGGCTGTTTCTATGAGCTCGGGGGAAGACTGGGTGTTATTGTTCTCCTGAAATACCGCTGGCTGAGGTATTCGCGCACTCCTGTGAAGTCTGGAGACTGACGTGCTTCTCGCATTATGAAAACTGCAGGCTACTGCTGCGGGAAAAGGACAGAACCTGCTGTATTGCTGAATCTGTTCATTTCTTTTTTCTGTTTGTATGTTTGTCAATGCAAGCCAGATTTTGAATCACAATCACAAAGGAATCAAACGTTATTGTGTAAAAGAATATCTCTACTTGAAGAGGGCTACTTCCACTCAAGTATTAATTCTAGCTTGGGGTTTGCTAAGGGCTAAAGTCAGCTTTAGGTGCTCAGAGCTAATAAGATCAGCTTACTGGCCATCCGCCTGCTGCCTGCTGTCTTGCACAAGGGCACACAGACCCTCTGTGGGAATGACCAGCACAGCGAGATCAGCAGGTGGTCAGGGCCTTCGCAGTTCAGTCCGACAGGCCAGGGACCTGCACCGAGCCAGACCACCCTGAGGAAGATCAGGGCAGAAACAAGGGCTGTACCGCACTGAGCGTCAGTAACCGGGCCCTGTCTGTACCACACAGCGCGTGAGTGACTGGGCCTGGTCCTGTACCACACAGCGCGTGAGTGACCGGGCCTGGTTCTGTACCACACAGCGTGTGAGTGACCGGCCTTGCCCTGTCGGCGGAGGCGAGATGCCGTGCCAGAAGCTCACCTCGTTAGCTCTCTTTACCGTGTTTGTCGCCTGAGTGCCACCCGTCCATGAAGGCGGCTGACAGGCCTCACTGTGAGGGCCCCTCGAAACCCAAACACAACAATCAGCCGGCTATTGTACCCACCTCTCAGCTCGCGGCCGTTGGAGCCGTTGAAAGTCTTTGTTTCTGGCGTGATCAGAGGTCTAATATTTACCGAGCATCCCCGCTCAGCACTTGTGTCTTTCAAGAAGGAGCGCTGCTGTACTGATGGATTGATTAGCCTGTTTCACTCCAGTCCCGAGTGCAGAGAGGAGCGGGAGGGGATCTTTAACCTGGTTTTTGCCGTTTTCTTCCCATTTCAGCATTAGTGTCCCAAAAAACTTTCCTTATAAATCACAAAAATGTCTCCAGATTGACGGAATGCAGCTGTGAGCTCCGCGGACTTTCTGAAAAACAATTAAGAGAGGATTAGCTGAGGCTGAATTCTGTGGAGGGAAAGGAGCCTTTAACACTCCAGCACAAAACACAAGGCTCTGTTTACTCTTCTCGACTTCTAAATTCTAATCGTGCAGCGTGTCAAACGGACAACCCCTGCTGAACATCTCCAGCTGATGCGATTCCTTCAGTTTGGATTTTATTTATTTAATTGTTGTTTTTGTTTCAGAAAAAAAAAACTGTATCTATATCCCTCCTTCCCTGCACGATCGATCCTGTATATAACAAAATTAGATTTACTGTGCTTGCACGTGTAATGAGATTATTTAGACGCTACCTCAGTCTTCCACTGGATAGTAAAAGCAATAATATTTGAGCAGATCCTGACAGTTGGGCAATTTAATAAAATGCAATGTATATTTTATAAGTACAATAAAGACAAGAATACAGTCTGAGCGATGGGTTTGGAGGTGGGACTGTTGTGCATTAGTCAAGGAGCTGTTCCGGATCCAAAACAGTTCTTCTTTCGGGATCTGACCGGAGATGGACAATCCTCAAGGGCCACAGCTTGCCCATTGACCAGCATGTTTGCTGATTCTCCTTAAACCATCTCCTGCCTGCAACCCGACCTCGGAAAAATAATCAAACTCACTGGCTCAGGGTAGTAAATGAGCACTCAGCTGGACAAAGAAGACCCCGGAAGGCCAGATTTTAACCTTTGTAAAAAATGTATGACATAGCCAGGCGTGGGGAACCCTCTCCAAGCACCAGTTTGCCACTGGAGTCAGGGTTGGGGTTATCCACCTGAACGGTGCTGTGGATGGGATTAGGGTTCGTGGGTGAAGCGATCCCGGAGGTGGGTTTATTCTGTAAAGATATGCCTCCGAAATGTATTTCTTATTAATTTCCACTTGCATAAATGTATAATTCATATCTCCTTTCTCTACCTCACTACTGATCCTGAAGAATGAAGACTCCTGAGTCCCTGACATTGTCATGATCTCTGAGGGACTGGCCGTGTTTGCGTGCAGACTCTGCGGAGCGTCTGTTCTGGGTGAAGAGCGCACAGGTGTGTTCGCAGCGTGTGGCTGAGCCCATGACTGTGTTCCCAGACGATGCTGTGACGGGAGCCCATCAGAGACGCTGCCTGGATTCATTTAGTCAAGTCGGACCTGAGCAGCTCCATTACAGTTTATTTGAATTCCACTTCTAAGGCACAAACTGTCCTTCCTGTAATACTGAGAGTTTAGCATTAAAAAGCATTGGGGTCTCGGTCTGCACTGAGCCTGAGGGACAAGAAGAAAAACTGCCAAGTCACCTGGAATTATCCGCCCGTAGCGGGACGCTGTGAGCTCATCCCACCTCCAGCAGCCCAAACCCACTCTCCTCTCCTCCTCCTAAGTGGCCCCATTAGCTTAGCTGGAAAGAATTTCTGGTCAAGTGAACAGTGCAAAAGGTAACAAAGACCCATTTCAGCGAAGATTACAGCTTCAACAGGAAACTCTTTGATTAAGAAGCTGTTTGAAATTTTATCAATACCTCGATCACCCCTTGAGGTCAAGAAAACCATTTCTAATCGCGGTGCCCCTGCTCCTCCTCCTCTCTTTCCACAGCGGCCTGCTGCCGGGGATCTGAGCCGCACTTGTTTAACATGGTGCGCCGTCAGGAGCACGTGCACCGACTGAGAGCCGCGCCGCTCGCAGATTCCCCACCTGCGCCGAGATTAGGTCAGAGGCTGTCAGCCCACGATGAGCGAAGGGAGAAGAAAGAAGCGAGGGGCAGGAGAAGGACCTGGGAGATAACGTTCGGATCTCTCGTCTGAAAGGGAGGATCACCGAGGGAGGCAAAGATGTTGTAGAAAGAGTTTGTTCACTCATCGGTGTCTCTCCCTTCTCTGGGTCTGGGCCAGGGGGAGGCCTGGGTTCAGGAATGTCTGCTGAGGTGCAGAGTGGACAAGGCAGAGAAAGGAACGCTGAACACTTCACAGCTCAAGACAAAGTGCTCACAAGAGGCTACTCAGCCCGTCTTGCGGGTTATGGTAGTTTAGTAGCTAAGTTATTCTAAAGTTTGGTTCAGCCACGTCCTAGAAATCCCCAAGGTGTAGGCCTCCGCCACCTGCCAAGGAGACAAAAGAATGGTAGCGTCTAGCGAGGTGAAGCAAGGACGTCTCCCAGCTGTAGGAGACCTTCGGGCGAGAGGCCAACAGACCTGAGCACGACGCCCCTCCCTCGGTGATGGACCGCAGGCCCCCTCCGGGACACTTGTGACGCACATCCTCCCAGGGGCGGTGCTGCAGGTCCGCGCTCTGCCGGGCCGAAGGAAGGGACTGGGCAGAGGGGCTCCTCCAGGCTAGGAGGATTTGTATTCTTATTTCATCAATATTAGCTGTCCGGGTACTCATACAATCGAAGGCACACAGAGAAGATCGCTCCCCGTTGCCTGAACAAGATCATTGTTCAATTACACTGACTGCAAGCATCTGCACGTCAGCACCACTGATCCAAGGGTATTGCACTGCATTCCACTGCCATATGGACATACAGTATACTGTATATATATACAGCAATTTAACAATGGTCCCGTTTGTTAACAAGTCAAGCCTTAATTCCCTTGGCCTCCCAGCAGGTTGTGGCACAGTGGCTGTAATGGTGGATGATCAAGATTAACACTACTGCATCACATCTAATTGAATTCTACACTTAGGAAATCATCTGAACACTTGTGTACCGACGCACGAAAAACAAGGCGGAGACATTGCATTGCACAGCAACGAGAGAAATTGGAAAGAAAAGTCATCAAAACTGCAGATGAAAATGGCAGATATATGAGGCACTTAGAGCTACGTGCTCTTATTGCACACTTGTTCTCAACTGAGGCATCTCTTCCCGAGTAATGCGATTATGCCCTTACCTCCGCTGTCCTCGGATCACATGCTGTTCTAATTCATTGTTCTGATGATGCATATGAATTTGAAGAGAAATCAAGTTAGCTGACACGCGTTATTACAAGTGCTGTCACAAGACACGTATTTCTCATACGTTTTGAAGGATGAGCCTCGGAGTTTCTTTTATTTAAGCAAAATAAAAAACTGAAAATCTAATGCTCTGCGCAGCACCGCGATCGAGCTGATTTGTGCTGATGCGTTTGCGAAGGCATCGCGTGTCCCATTGTGCCTGATCTAATAAAGTCGGAATTCTGTCTGTTACTACAATCGCTTCTCGGTTGTCTTTTTTTCTGGCGAACGGCGCAACCGCGGCATCCCCAGGTCTCAGATACGCTCGGACCCCTGAGGGGTCGGCCGGAGGCCCCGTGAAACACGCATTCAAAGCCCTAAACTGCAGGAATAAAGGTAACCTTTTATGGCTGGCCAAGGAAAACACGGAGTCCTCAACCGATCAAAAATGACATTTCACAACCCTATTCGTGCGCCAAGTGTAGTATACTGTACATTGTCCTAATACAAAAACAAAATATTGTTTTGATGTACAGATAACTATAACCGGACATCATCCAATAAAACATCTTTCAAATATCAATCCATATACATTCAAATAGTCCAAAGCGAAGACAACAGACATCACTGTTCTAATTAGTGTTTTCACCTTTTTAAACATCACAACAGTCGCTAGGCAGAGACTTCAAGGGGCGCTGGCGCTGCGGAACCGGTACCGCCTGCAACTCGGCTGAGCTCAGACGGGCCACTGGCGCCATCTGCTGGTTGTCTGACAGAACGTCTCTTGTTCTCTCGCTCTTTGTGTGATGATAATTGGCAGCTCCCTAGCAGCGGAAATTTCGCAAGACCTCAAAAACATGAGCAAAACAGCACCTAGTGTTACAGACATCTTCGGGGTCCTTAGACGTTTAATTTAGCCTCCGGTTTATGCTCGCTCTCAGAATTTTGGTATTGTTGTGGTTTGCAAAAAAGCATGAATCCATTTTGTGAGTGATATCTCACAAATAGATGCTCTTTCTAAGATAAAATGGAACCCTAAATTAGCAGCAAAAGCTCATGTCGATCTCCGCCTGACTGACACCTCGATTGCCTTCATATGCAAGTTCTTAGTCTGAGCCCCACGACCCCCGGGGTACGATTGGCGAACACGCCAGCCTTCTGGGGGAGATAGCGCCCCTGAACTCTCGTGGAAGAGAAGGGTGGTTTGAATTGCAGGTGGTTTTAAAGCCTCTTAAATCATATTTTCGAATGTAGTGTTTTTTTTTGCTGGAATACAAGTGGTTGAACCAAAGAAATTATTGAACAACGCGTTGACTTTTATACTGTCCTTCGTTTTCACTTTTAACGCTGCGCACTGTGTCGTTGTTTGTATTTGCTGTAACTCCTGCAAAGCAGAGACTTACAGGTGAGTCAGAATGAAGAGCGGACTCTTCATTTCAGACACTGCTCCGCATCGTGGGGGTACAGGTCGGTACCCCACTGGACAACCACAACAACAAAAAAAACTCATGCGGTTTCTGCACCCGCACACGGATGCTGTGGCGCCTGTCCAGTGCTGCTTCCCCGGCACACGCGTGGGAGCCCGCGAGGAGCGGGAGCGCGCCGGGAGGGTTTGTTTACAGCGCGCACCACGCGGTACGCGGAAGAGCGGGGGGGGGGTGTGCGTGATGATGTCACGGTTTCCTGGAGCAGTGCGGCGGACGGAGCGCGTCTGGCTGAGGGTCCCAGGGCTCGAGCGAAGCATGACAACACAGGTGAGAGCAGCCGCGCTCACCGGCAGTCTGGCGTGCAGCGGGGGCCGGCTCGCCGCGCAGGCCGGGTTTGCGGACAGTGTTTCCCGAGAGGAGGAGGAGGAGGCCGGGGCTGTGCTGAGATGTCTGTGCGCGCTGGGGCATTGTCACTGCGGCTACATGGCTCGTCGTTCTCCGCCTTGCCGGGGCGGCAGGCCTCGCAGCTCCCACCGGCGCCGGTGACGTTGGCCCAGCGTGTCCTGCGCGGCTCAGAGCGGTCCCGTTCCCGCACCGCCCCTCCCCCGCCCGCCGTCCCTCGGCCCCGTCTGGTGTCTGCTTCACGGCCGTCTTTCGCCCCGGCGGCTCCGGTCGCACCGCCGTGGCGCAGTGGAGACGAGGACGTGAAGGGAGGCGGAGGGGCAGCATCTTCGGCGCACGGACCACTTGTGCCGCGAAGGCTCTGCCTGCTGCCCTCACACCCCCTCTGGCCTGCCAGCTCACAGCGAACAGCTCTTGACCCGAGACTACCTAAACTACACCGGGAGTGCCAGGAACAGCCGTCTCTTAACGTGAGCAGATGGAGTCTGTAGCTGTTGCTCAACAGCACAGCTAGGATACCGTTCCCGAGCACCCACGCCCCGTCCCCAGCGTGAGGCTCTCCTGCGTCCGTTCAGCCCGGTGGGCGGCCGCCAGGTGTGGGGATGTCCGGTGGGCGGTGACCGGTGTGTCGTGCTCACCCTGCCTGCTGACGCAGAAGCCACCCAGCTCCTGATCGGTCAGTGCTGACCGTCAGTGGGGATCAATAGTCAGAGAACAGCCCCACCGTGATGCAACGCAGAAAGCCAGGACACCTTTTTATTACGCTGACCTGCTCCTTGGTTCTGCATCTCCTTAATCTGCTACAGAAAGGGGCCCGAAGGAGCATAAAATAGTAGTTTTTGTTTTCTGCTTTTGGAGGAAATGGACCTGGATACTGATCTAAACAAAGAACAGAGGAGCTCTTACAAAGGACAGCAGGCAGGCAGCCACCCTTCTGGGGGCAAGCAGCTGATGGCCTTTGTGGCCCTGAGGGAGCCTCCCCAGGGGCCGTCGGCGCTCCCCTGCGTGGTGGCGGGAGTGGGGGGGTGGGCGCGGGGCAGGCGCAGTGCGGGTCTGGCAGGAGGAACAGTCCAGTGACGGGGTGGGGGGCGTTAACACAGCTGTCCAGACGCAGTGGCCGACCAGTGACCAGTGACCAGTGATCAGCGACCCTCTCCGCAGTGTGCCTTTCGAATTAGCGTCCCCGGGAGAGGAAAGCCGTTAAATGTCACTTTGATTTGTGGGGAGCACTGCGGCCTCTCAACGCGGGGGCCCTGGGCTCGGTGCCAGGACGGGTCTGCCGTCTGCGTGGAGTCTGCATGTTCTCCCCGCGTGCGCCTGGGTTTCCTCCCACAGTCCAGAGACATGCTGGGGGGGTTAACTGTCTCCTGGGTGTGAGAGTGAGTGTTTCTGCCCTGCGATGGACTGGCGTCCCGCGGGCTGCTGGGATCGGCTCCCGGGAGTGGATGGATGGACTGTGCCCGTCTTTTAATCCGAGCCTCTCCCGGTTCTTCCTTCCAAGGTCTAGACTCCCGGAAGTATGGAAGCGGAGGCGAACGCGTTCCGTGTGGAATTCCCGGACTTCTCCTGCTCCGTCCTGCAGAAGCTGAACCAGCAGCGGCAGCTGGGCCAGCTGTGCGACATCACGGTGGTGGTGCAGGGCCGCCGGTTCCGCGCGCACCGCGCCGTGCTGGCCGCCAGCTCGCCCTACTTCTGCGACCAGGTGCTGCTGAAGAACAGCCTGCGCGTCACGCTGCCCGACGTCATGCCCCCCGCCGTCTTCGAGAGCCTGCTGCTGTCCTGCTACACCGGCGCGCTGCTGCTGCCCGCCGCCGACGTCGTGGCCTTCCTGACGGCCGCCAGCTTCCTGCAGATGTGGCACGTGGTGGACAAGTGCACCGAGCTGCTGGAGGGCAACCCGGCGGTGCTGTGCCAGCGCTCCTGCCCCGGCAGCGCCCTCCCCTCGCCCCGCAGCGGCGCCGGCGACTGCGCGGACTGCGAGGCGGAGCCCCCCGCCGAGGAGGGCCCCCGGCCGCTGTACGTCCCGCCCAGCATCATGTGCCACCGGAGGTGGGTGCAGGTCAAGGCGGAGAAGCCCGAGCCGGAGGCGCC